ATGTCTTACACGACGAGAAGCGTTCGGTCGAATTGTTCATTGAAAAACATCAGAGAGATTTGGGCAAATCGTTGAACTACGAAGGAATGTATTCCCGCATATTGGAGGATCCTGAAGTTGATTCTGTAGGCTTTTTATCTCCTCAACAAGATGAATGTTGGACACAATCACAATACATGAGCGGTCCTTCGTTCGTGGGCACTTCGAATGCTTTCGATACTAAACGGGAATTCAAGAAGATAATGCAAGTGTTGAATCCGAGAATGATAATGAAGAGGAGGGATTACAAATTAATAGCATGACATTGATAGATCGTGATGACGGGGAAAACCAACACATTGACGGATGTTATGTTAATAATGAGTATGTCGGCTTAGAGGATCCGCCGCCCGATGAACTTCAAGGAGATGAATGGATTGATAACTCCGCGATGGAAAGTGTTCCTATTGGCACTAATAGCGGTGTTGATACACAGGCCGAGGACTTCTCATTCATCAAGGGAGATCTTTACGAGAGTAAGGAGAAATTGATCCATGCTATTCGCACGTATTCCATTGCAAAAAATGTGAAGTTCAGGCCAACCAAAAATAATACTACAAGCTATAATGTGGTTTGTTTCTATCGCAAAGATGACGATGTCGAAGATAATAGTGGACACCACGACGGCAATGCGAGGTGTCCGTGGAAGCTTAATTCACGCTCGGGTGCAAGAGTAGGTGGGCAATTCAAAATCACGGCATACAATGGACTCCACACTTATAGCAATCCTCGATTAGAGATGAATAACAAGAATGCGTCCTCTTCTTTTATATATCAATTGATTTTACCGCATCTGAGGGAGGATCTTGATCTAAGGCCGAAAGATATCCGTCTTTTAGTGCATAAAGCCACCAACTTGGATGTATCATATCACAAGTGTTGGAATGCTAGGAGGAAGGCGATGATAAAAATATTCGGGGATTGAGATAATTCGTATGAGATCTTACCTCATTATCTTGAAACACTCAAAAGAAAAAATCTAGGGACTGTCTACGAAGTATCTTCGGACCCCGTTGATGGCGGAGAACGGCGGTTCACCGGTGTATTTTGGGCATTTGGGCTCTGTATTGAGGGGTTTCGATATTGCCGTCCTCTTCTTAGTATTGATGGAACTCACTTATATGGTAAATACAAAGACGTTTTGCTTGTTGCAACCGGTGTTGACGCGGATGGCGGGTTGTTTCCTTTAGCATTCGCAGTGGTTGATGTTAAAAACACAGAGAATTGGGCTTGATTTTTTGCATGCATTAGATATCATATCCCTAATGTGGGGATGTGGCCGATTACATTCATATCCGATAGGATGAAAGGAATTCCAAAAGCACTCCAACGACATTTCCCGCCACCACATGCACATCGCTATTGCTTGCGACATATTAGAGACAACTTCAAGAAGAAGTATGAAAACGCTCAGGTTCAAGACTTACTTTGGCAAGCCGGTTGTGCAACAGAAAAATATGTTTATGAACAAATACGAGAGAGGATCAAGTTCATTTCACGAGCTGCACATGATTGGATCGAAACTAGTTTGGGTCCAAACAATGTTGATAAGTGGGCTTTATGTGAGGATGGCGGTCGACGGTTCTGTATGATGACTACGAAGGGCTTTATGTGAGGATGGCGGTCGACGGTTCTGTATGATGACTACGAACGCGTCTGAGAGCTTCAATGACGTGCTCAGGGGAGCACGCGGCATGCCAAAACAGGCACTAGTTGCTAAAACTTTTTACAGGCTTAATAAATTCTTTGTTCGACGTCGAGAACATGGTAAAAATATCCACTCAGAGCTAACACCGAAGGTTGATGAAATGCTAGCGGCTCGGATTGTACAAGCTCGGTCCTTTCAGGTTGTACGATACAGTTTTAATGAATGGGAGGTGCTCGAGGGAATAACCCATAGAGAAAATCGCTCTTACAAAGTCAATATGTTGGTGGATCACACTTGTACGTGCACTTACAATGTACCGCAACTACAATGGATTCCTTGTTAACATGTTGTAGCAGCTTGCTCCGACCTACAGGGTGGTGCTCGCATTTCACATTATGAATTTGTCGCGGATTGGTATTCTGCATACAACTATCTACAAACGTACAAAGAGTGTTTTCGTCCACCATACGATAGTCGATATTGGACACAAGATGGGCCACGGATATTACCTCCATTGTATAAAAGATCGGCGGGGCGCCCTCGTTCCGTGCGTATTAGAAATAGTATGGATGACGGAAGTGAAGGAGCTAGGAGGAGAAATAAGTGCAGTAGATGTGATCAACCGGGTCACAACAAAAATAGGTGTCCAGTTAGTATTAGGCGTTGATTTGTATTATGTAGCGTTTTGCACTATGATACTTGTTATTTGTAATATGTTCTGTATGATACTGCGTTCATTTCACCCATGTATTTGTATTATGTAGCGTTTTGCACTATATCAGATCATGTATGTCATTCGTATTTGTTATCTTTGAAGCGTATGATACTTGTTATTTGTAATATGTTATGTATAATACTGTGTTCGACGATTCGTTATATCAGGCTTGATTGACCGCTTATCACTGCTTTGATTAAGAGGTGGAGGCCAGAAACCAACACCTTTCACATGCATATAGGAGAGTGCACCATCACTTTACAGGACGTGACCGTCATACTTGGGCTCCGGATTGATGGACCGGCAGTTACGGGCACCGATGATCATAGTTGGCCGGAGGTATGTGCCCGGCTTCTTGGACAGGTTCCCGACTTGAGGAGTGGTGCGATGAAGCTATCGTGGCTTCGTCAGACATTTCAGGGCGATATACCACAGGATGCCTCTATTGAGACGCTCCAGTTTCATGCTCGTGCATACATATTGCACATGATAGGGTGCGTACTATTTCCTGATGCGAGCAAGACTCTCGTACATGCACGATGGCTGCCACTGCTGGAGGATTTTGGTGTATGCGACGCACTATCGTGGGGCAGTGCGGTGTTGGCATATTTGTATCGAGAATTGAGTAGAGTATCTCTGATGCAGAATAAAGAATTCAAGGGATGCTGTACGTTGATACAGATTTGGTCATGGGAGCGCATTCATATTGGACGACCCACTTTACTTATGCACCGTGACTTAGAGGGGCAGTATCCGTTGGCATACAGGTATAATTGTACACACATATTTCATTCGTAACCTGAATATTTGTACTTATATATCCGCTATTCTGCATATAGGTATAACCACACATATTTCATTCGTAACCTGAATATTTGTACTTATATATCCGCTATTCTGCATATAGGTATAACGAGCGATACGCTCAGTACAGATCAACGACGCGTCACCGTCAGTTTTACCGAAATGAGCTTGATGGCCTCCAGCACGAACAGGTAAATATAAAACTCAAGAAGTATGAATATTATAGTTTTTCTGTATGATACTGATAAATGTTTTATTTTATTTCAGTTCAAGTGGAGACCCTATACACCGCCGGAGCTCGATATACATTCTCTTGCACCTATCTGTCGAGATAGTCCCGGCTTGTGGAGAGCCAGAGTTCCATTGATCTGTTGGGAGATCGTAGAGATGCATGTACCGGACCGTGTGCTACGGCAGTTTACACTCTCTCAGCATATTCCAGATCCTGTCGAGCAGATCAATCATCGGCGGCGCCCTACATCGCACCGGACTGACTGGGCCGTAGTCCGTGCGGTCTACATAGACAGGTGGGTTCACAGGTGGGATTGCATACAGGATACGAGGCCCACAGCTGTTGACTATACCGCGTATATGCATTGGTATTGGGGTATCACACGTAGATGGATCACGCGTGACCCACAGCCCTTAGCTGGACACATGCCACGCCCACCGACAGATAGTTACATCCCTAGTGGGATGAACGAGAGAGATTACGTAAGCTTCTAAGCTAAATTATAACATTTTTTATTGAGTTGATACTTAATAAATTATTTACCACGTAGGTCCGTGTTTTAGATAGCATTGATGCTGATATTGATGCGCACGTGACTGAGATTCAGGATCAGGTGGCGTTAGGGCTCCTCAGCAAATTTGTAACTTTCCTGAATTTTCAAATACTAAACTTTTGAAGGTAAATTATTGTTCATATACATAATCGTGTGTGTTTAATTCATGGTTGAATCATGTATATATTGTTGTTTGCAAATAAATTGGCATATATAGTGTGTTTAATTCATGGTTGAATCATGTATATATTGTTGTTTGCAAATAAATTGGCATATATATGAGTTATAATTCATGGTTGAATCATGTATATATTGTTGTTTGCAAATAAATTGACATATATATGAGTTAACAGGTACATATACAAAACATGCACAGCAGGCTGTGCATTCTGGATGACCTGCAACTTCACGGGAGTTGAACTCCCGTGAAGTTGCAGTCCCAATTTCCAAGAGAACCGAGAGATCGGTTCTCTGGGAATGTTTGACTGTAACTCCACGGGAGTTCGTTTTAAGCAGAAATTAAACTTCACGGGAGTTCAACTCCCGTGAAGTTTAATTTCTCGATAAACTTCACGGGAGTTAAACTCCCGTGATGTTTCGGAGAACTCTATACAAAAACCGACCTGTTTTCAGCGCTGGGCTGAAAACAGGTCGGTTTTTGTAATTATTTTCAAAAGGGGTCGGTTTTTGCAAATAAAATCCTAAAAGGGGTGGTTTTGAAAATTTGTCCGCATTTTCATACTTCTTCGCTATTTTCAGATTGCCAAACAACCTTTTAAAATACTCCATCACGATAAAAGATGGTAGAACTTTCTTACTGAAAATGCTCCATCATTTCAAGCCATCTTTGAAATTTCAAGATTTCATTTTTTCCTAAAAACAATCTTGTCCAGTTCACCTACCTTGCTCAGATATCGCAAGGTCAAAACTTCATCAATTTATTCCAACAAATCCAAGGACAAAAAACCTAGTAATGGTAAACAACCAAGAATGAAGAAAGCAGCATTACCCTCAATGAAACCTGAGAACTGAGTGAGGAAAGCATTGACCTGATCCTTATAAATATACCCAACTGCTCCAAACCCACCGACAACTCCAAGCAGAAGAAGCCCAGCAAGAACAGTCCCCTTCAACGCCGTATCTCCTCCTAATTCCCCACCAGACGACTCTTCTTCACCTCCTACCTCTCCTCCTCCTCCTGCCTTCTTGTTCCCAAACTTAAGATTCTGAGGGACATTTGAGGCTTTTCTCAAGGTGGGTTTCTTGGTCTCTCTAAGAGAAGAGAGAGGCCTGAAGGAATGGAGACGCTTGGGCCTGAGGGAGGAGAAGGGGAAGGAGAGGAGAGGGGATGAGAGGCATGTAAGGTTCATTGGAGGATGGTGTAGTTGGGTTTTGATGGGGGTGAGATTAGGACGGCTTGAAACGCCATGGAGCATAGGGGTAGTGAGAGAATTGACAGAGAGGAGGAATGAAATGTGTGCGGAGGATTCTAGGCTCTGCGTTTGATTTTGGACTGTTTTTGGCGTGGGGATGATAAGAAAAAGAGGAGTGGCTATGGAGTTATGCGGTGTAATTTGGGGATTTTTGGGAGTACATGGTTTAGCCACCTGGAATGGCCACACAGGTTGGCCACACAGGTTGCAGGGAACGGGAATATCGATGGTTGGTATTCACTCGTGCAGGTCTCCAAATCGAATGATTAAATACCTAATATTCATTTAGTGTATATTTAATGTCATAGATTTAGGTGCACTTGATACTAACTCTTCATGTAGAGTGCTACTTGTTCAGACTCTATTTGACTATTGTTGATGTCAAAATTTAGGTTGTGGGATTTAGGGTAGATTTCGAAGAGCTTAGGGTCCATTAATCTCTTTTGATGGCTGATTGACGTGTGTGTAGTAAAGAAAATCTTGCACGTGCACAACACGTTAGAGGATTGAAGTTGAGCTTTTCTGATGGTTCATCCGATGATCCAGTGAGCAATGATCTGAAGAGAAGAAAGGAGCTGATTTAGTTCTCTTAAGTGTGCAGAATTTGCGTACCTTCATATAGTAGGCAATATGCCTTTTATACCAAATCTACAATGGTATTGGTATTTATGTAACTTTGGCTGACTCCATGTAGTCGGCTTAGTCAGCTGATATTTTACAAGTGTCGGCAGCGGATGATCTGAAGCATCTTTGTATTTAATATGACAATGACAAAGGGACTGCAGTGCTGGCGTGGTCCAATGAGTCATTATGACTTCTTCAGTGGGGCAATGATGATTTTGACCTTGCATTTTAATGTAATGGTGATCGGATGACATCGTGGAGTTCGAGAGAGAATGCCTTTCCACTCAGTCCTTCGAGAGTGGTTGAGTGAAGACGCCTTTCGACTAGGCCTATTGAGTGAGGACGTCTTGGATTTCTGAGACGGTTCGAGTGAGGACGCCTTTCGGATCGGCCTTCTAGGCGAGGATGCCTGTTGAGTCGGCTTTCATAAGAACTAGGTCAGGTCTATGTCCAGTTAATCGAGACACATGTTATTTTCCTCAATGAGTTTTATCCTTAGTGATTTCTATGATATAATACTAGCTCCTTTCACTCAAACACGGCTCATCAGGTCCGAGTGAAATCAAATTGTTGTCTATTGGAATTTTGAGATGCATTAACGAGTAGTCATTGATGGGTGTTATTGATGTGATGCTTTGACGTCAGAGGAGATCGTTCATCGGTTAAAGAGAGGATGTCGCTTCGGTTATCAAGTAGTAACCTCGAACTTCAAGAGCCTTTTTAGCCGTCCTTCGAGATCGAGTCTGTCACTCAAATCATGTTGTGTTGTCCACCTCTTTGCCTATATATGCATCTGATCTTCCAATGGGTTAGTTTCACTTCTTCAAAAAACCCTAAAAATTATTTGTAGTGTTTGGACGATTTCTGATCATCTCCGACTTTTCTTTGACAATCATTTCTGAAAAAAGATAGCATATTCGAGTTCGGCCGCCCCTGTCCATAACGAAGCTCGGATTACTCTGCTTCAAAAGTTTCATTCTAAGGTGCTTCTGGCAATGCTTGAACTATACTACGACAGATTTGATATTCCTCCAGTAGTCACCTTGATGGCATCGGTGAAAGATAAGGATGTATAATCTTCTGTTTCACCCTTTTCTCCACCGCATTTTCTAAGTTCGAGGGGTCTTGCTATCACAGATTAAGCCGAACTATGTAGCTATGCTCGTTAGGTTTGTCATAATTTGCCATTGAGTGGAGATGGAGCCAACTTTGGGGATTCTCAAACACCTAATTAGCATCAAGGTCCTCAAGCTTGAAGGGCTACTACTTCCATCTGTTGGGGGGAGTCAAGCTTGTTTTTAATACCCCCCACTCGAATAAGGATTGGAAGATCGGTTTGTCTTTGTCTTTGGGGCCAACGAGATCTTGGCTTGCTCTACTTGGCTCGAGATAAATAAATACTCTTTATAGGCTAGTCCACTTTTGAAGGTAGAGAAGCGTGGGTTGGATAAGATTTGAGCCTATGCTGGGTCTTATTGCAGTGAGAATCTTTATGACAATCCGGTATTGCAGGTTGTTGACATTTCACGGACTCCTCCAAATTGAGGAGGACAAGGTGCGAGCAAAGGGTATAGCACTACGGATGGAGGATTCCAAGATGTCCTAAGTGGATTAATCAGCAAGGCCTCAAAAGTACCTCTAGTCTGAGTCAGCCTAGAGGAGGTCGAGAAGATTAAGGCTAATGCAGCCAAGATTGCAGCTAGGCTGGCTGGCCTGAATCCTACTATAGTTGTAGGCGTATAAAACTGCTTATAGGTCCCTTAGCACAGCTCAGCACAAACCGACAAACCATCGGGTGACGTATCTAAACACGAGCGTCAGTCCACAACACCGAAGCCAAGTGACACGCAACGAAGCGGATTAACGAGGCGACGAGGTTAACGAATCGCACGCAAGCAACGGAATGCATCCATTCGCGTGCGGAATCAAGCTAACGGTTCGGTGAGTCAACGAGTCATCCAACCGTAGAACGGATTCGAACTCGAACTCCAAGGCGGATTTACTGCCAAATCGGGATCCGGACTGCCAAATCAGAGTTCAAATCAACAATAAAACTCAGATGAACTGCGAAACCATAAAACCGGACAACGGACAACAGTCACAGCACATAACACCTGGGAGGACTCGGTGGCTCGGTGGCCCTGACGCCACCGCAGGTGGCGTTCGGCCAAAAACGCGAGCCACCAAGAGGTGGCTCGGTGGTGGCTATCGGCCAAAGCCGAGCCACCGCAACTCTATGTGCCGGCCACCTGTGCTCAAAGGCACCAGTCCTGAGTGCCTATAAATAGCTATGGGGGCTGCATTTGTTGAGGGTTGGAATTTTGAAAGGCGAAGCTCTGCTGAATTGAGATCTGAACCTTAGAGATTTGAAGCTTTGAAGACTTGCTCTTTCAGATCCGGTGCTCGGCGATCGTCCACGTCAAATAAGACAAGAGTTCGAGAGGGATCGGATCTGAGATCTACGAGATTATCCTCCGGATCAAAGCTTGGCCTTTGATCCCGAGAAGGCTGCTATTTCCTTGGTGAAATAGTACCCCCCGGCTGTTATTTCCTTCGTGAGATAACACCCATTACATCGTGTAGATCCGACCGTATCTAGATCGCGCGGTGGTCCACAGATTAACCCCGGCGCAGGCGAAGAACCCACAAAAACGAGTGACCGCAAAACAGGAGCTCGTGATTCGTTCAAAAAAGGAAAGTTGTAATCTTTTTATTTTTTCTTTGATTTTGTTGTAACCGGATCTTATAAAAAGACCGGATCTTTTGTAATCGAAAAACATTTGTAACCGATAAACTGTTAACAAAGTAATCAATGACTTCAATGAAGAAAACAATTTTTCCTGCGAACATTTCCTAACTCATCTCTCTTATCTTGTTTTAGCATTTTATTTTGTGGTATATTGCATTGTCTCATTTTTAATTGCATATCTATTGCCTTATAACCCTATTCATCCCTCCTCTAGGCCTTTTAATTGGTATCAGAGCAAGGTCTCTATTGTTTATTATGCTTAAACCCCTTAGAAAAAAGATCTAAATGGAGGCTTCAATGAATGTGCATATGCTAGAAGGACAATCCACCACTAAGCCACCCCTTTTCCCCGATAGCAACTTTGCTTATTGGAAAGCTAGGATGAGGATTTATCTTTGATGCATTGACCTTGATATCCTAGACATCATAGAGAAGAAATATGTTGAGAAGCCTAGTAGTAGTAGTATGACCGATGGTGAGAGGCTCAAAGCAAACAGATTGCAGAAGGAAGTGGCCAAGAAGCCGCCACCGACCCGCCAAGTATGGAAGCCGAAGTCTGAAGTGGCGATCCAGGCTAAGGCACAATCGTCACAGCCTTCGAAACAAGTTTGACCTCCGGCGAACCAACCGAAGTCGCCGGTAATTCCAGTAGCTACTCCGGGAGATCCCCCAGAGTCATCCCGAAGGAGAAAGTCAGTTTTGGAACGCCTCGGTCCACTTCCCGATGAAGGAGGCAAGACTCCAGTTCAGGAACGTTTGGGCCCGATGAAGAAGCCCCGAACGACTCAACATGTTGGGGGTTGCTGTCACCTCCAACATGACAAGGAGCTCAAGGCAGCTGCGCGCACTAATTTGCGCATCGAAGTCCAAGAACCTGCTGAGAATTCACGCCCAAAAAGGCATGTCTTGAGGCACGTGACTCTTGAAAGCCCAAAGAAGGCAGTTCGCCCTCAGAAGGAAACATTGTCGTCTGATGACGATAACGTTATACCTGAGAAATCGTGCCAACACACAATAGGTTACTCCGACCTTCAAACCGACGAGTTGTACTATCGTGTTGGTGGTACGAGGAAAAGCAGGAAGAGGAGTCCTCGAGGACTAGAAAATCAGTGTCCCTATTCCAAACTCATTCGGGCAATATTGTCTGAGTGCAACTGCATCAAGACGGTCCCCGAAAGAGTTTCGGTCTTCGAAAGGCTTAGTACCGAAACGCCAAAACCAAGGACTAGGCGTTTCCAACAAAGAAGAACGGTAGTTGAAGATGGAGAATTCCCGAGGGTCACCACCAATATGACCAGTAAAAGGACATCGACGCGGGATAATCCCGAGTCAATTTTGGAAATACCCCGACGTGTAACCCGTCTGCAGTCTGGAGCTATCATACGAGGAACTTATGGTAGGGTTCGGACAAGATTATCGTCAGAAGATGAAGAATCCAGCGAGGGACAACCCTGCGAGTCACTGATGATAAGCGCGGAACAAGTAGCCAAGATGCTCGAAGAAGCCATGGCTAAGCAACAAGAGAGCTTCAGGCTCGAAATGCAGATGGCCATGCAGAATATAAGAGAAATGCATGACCAACAAATCCGAGCGCTGACGAACCAGCAAGGCGAGCCAAGTCGTCGTAACCAGGTTAATCTGGAAGATGAGGACACAGGTGCGAATGAAACCCATAACGCCAATAATCCTCCCGTCAGTGCAGGGGGTGGTAACGAGAATGCTAACGAAGACTCAGGTGAAAACTTGAAGATTAAAAATCTCGAGAGCAAAATCAA